CTAGATGGCTCCAATCCAAGGACTCGTCCACTGTTCAATTCAACCCATAGCTTCAACCGTGATAACGACCGTCGTTTGAAATGTTGGTAATTTGTCTCGGGGAAACCCAATGACATCGCCACCCGCCCAATTCCTTGTTTAACCACTGGTAAAATGTGTTCTTGTATCGCCACTGCATACATGCTGTTGCCGAGAGCCGCGTGGCAGATGATTCCCTCGATTACGTCTTTCTCCCGTGGTCTATCGGGATGATGGTATTCTGCGCTACATGGATACGCCTAGACCCTCACAACAATCGACATGTCAACTGTTTAGTAGCTGGTCATAAATGCCTTCACTCGGCAGTAAACCACTGTCTGAGACTAGTTGCTCGTCAACCGGCATCTGTGTATATCGAGCATAGGCTTCCGGCAATCAGGCAGTCGACGAGACAACAACTGGTAGGTGAGTGGTAAGTCTCAGGTGGACTGCATATGAGTCAACGTGGCACAATGACATGTATCCAACACATGTTATCCCGCCCAATACAAGCCACAACATTTCCAAGTTGCCCTAATACGAAATACGCGGTAGGCAAGAGAAGTGCCGTTTCAAGAATCTATTCAGCACGGCATGTCCTAGGTTCGGTGTGGCCGACGCTTTGGTCCCCTTCGGAGTAAAGGCATAGACTGGCACGTATACCATTCATGGAAAGCGCCCAGCCGAAATAGTGTCCGAGACACGTCCTGTGGAAAGGCTTCCCAAGAAGCCGCCGATACGAATAACCGAAAACCTAGGTAAACCAGCTGACATGGAATTAGATGGTAATTGATGAGACAAGATGGAAAGACAAATGTTTTCTGCTCTCACTTCTCTCGTTGCCACCATCCTCGATGTCTTCAAAGTCTTTGCTTGGTAGAATACTACCACAACGCCAGGCTGTTGTGCCCTCTTCTGTTGGGATGGGGCGGAGGCTGATTCAACTCACCCCGGCCAACAAGGAAATGCCGAAAGATGATAAAATTTCAAGCTCAATACGAAGTAGATATCAGTCCATTTGTGTAACTCAAGCCATCTAGCTCCTGCATGGGGGATGTTTCCCCTCATCACTTCTCTCCCGCTGCAAAGCACCTGAGAAGGGGCAAGTAGCATGGATAGACAAATCCCCCCCGTCAACGTTTGTCGCCTAAATTTGGAGGCTTTCAGACTTGACAAGGGCAGATTGTATATAAAGAGCCCATAATTCCTTAGCGGTAGCCGCCAGGAGGCCGATTCCATCGTGCCCTTCTCCCCAAGTATACCATCGTCAATATGAAATTTGCCATGGTCGCGCTCGCCATGCTTGCCGGGCTATTACTTGCAAGCCCGACAAGTAACTCTGATATTGAATCTCGAGTAAGTCGTCTCTGCCCTGCACTGTTATATGGGGCTTTGCTAACGCGGCGCGCAAATAGCAGCGGCGCTGTATCCGGCGTGGACGTGTATGCCGGGCAAATAGTCATGTGGGACAACGAACTCGTGGCAAATATATACCTGCTAATATCTTATGCGAAGCTAATTGGACACTGCTGCGGTAATAGCAGAGTAAGTAATGGTCGTAAATTGCTATATTTGAATTGCCGCAGCATGACTTACAATTTTAGTGCGGTGCGAATAATAAATGCCGCCCCTGCCACAAATACAATGCGTGTGTAAGCAATATCGATGCCGCATGCGAAATTGGTGCCCGTTGTACTAATTACCAACTTCAGATTTAGACTGTCTAGTACCGGGACCAACGAGCCATCTCTGGCCGTGTAAACTGGCATGATGTACGGTGCAAAGGTCTTGTAGATCAAAGGGGGAGGTGGATGAAATGGAAGTCTTTAAGGTGAACGGCAGCTTGCTTTCCTCTGTCTTATTCACTATAGGACCAGCATGTATTTGTGCTTTTTCCCATTTTAGACTTGGATGGCTCAGGAGTAGGGTTTTCTAGGCGAAGCCTGTTCGGTTACACTGGTATCCCCGTCGCCATCTTTGATGTCCAGCAACGGTAAGTTCATGTCACCGCAGTTAAAATAAGGGTCTTGCCCGGTAATTGCGTGCCACTTGACCCAATCTTATACTGCCTGGTCCCTGCCAAGACGGATATATAATGCTGGAATTATGTCCCGGACACCCATGTTGTCCGAGCGACAGGGTCAGAGGGCTTAAGCTGGCTAGTGAGGCTACCAGATAGTGCCATTTCTGATGCCGTGGTCGGATTTACGGAACGAGAATTAAGAAGTAGAGAATGGTAGTAGTAACGGGTCTTTTTGCGTGCATACGTGATCAAGGGATCGGGTTCAAAAGCAAGTTATTCGTTAATGCCGGTTCTAACAAGAAGAGAACAGACAATAATACCTGGAAAGTTTTCATCTCCATACTAGTGCCACCGTATTTCTGACAGCTATCCAGTCCTAAAGTGGCTCGCATGGACTGATCAATGGACCCATTATATTCCCTTGTATTCGAATTCTTCGTAACTAACATGAACGTGGTCCCTATGCAAAAAAAAGAGTTGGCTCCATAACAAAGAGGCAGTTTTCAGCAAAGAAAGGGCGTCTCACCAGTGATTCTGCGTCACGTCGCCCCTGTCATTCATAGTCCGCCAGTGCTCCCAGTGGTTGGGCTCAGCATCGACGGTGGGATTCCAGATCTTCTGCCCCCAAATGACGTACTTGAGCTTGAGGTCTTTGCGGTTATGCATGACCCATTCGGCTATTTGCTTGCCCGACAGCGTGGGAACCTGTCGTTTTTCCCCGTCAGTCATGACCGCTTCATATATCAAGGTGAGCTATTTGTATGCAACATTGCAGGGACGCACGCCAAAGCCGTCGGAACACATCATGTCGCTCGCCAGGCCACAGCAGTGGTCCGAGGTGCCAGGACACTCGCAGTCCCGCTTGCAGCCGACGTCCCACACGCGGCCCGGGAAGGCGGCGACAATCTTTTTCGCGCCCTCGACGCTGCTCGGCTTGCAGTCGCCGACCGGGGGGATGGCGGGGGCCGCGTAGCCGCCGAAGCCGGAGTCGCGGCTGGAGCAGCACTGCATCTCGGGCGGCCCCGGGCAGAGGTTGGCCGTGGACGAGCCCGCGCAGTCGGATTGCCAGCGGCAGTTGCCGGCGCAGTCGGGGCCGCACCGCCCCTTGGAGCAGCACTTGATGTCGGCGCCGTCGGCAGGGCACGCGCCCGTGGCCGTGGTGCCGTTGGCTGCGGCGCAGGCGGCCTCGGTCGTGCACACGCCTGCTTGGCCCTCGGCGTAGCAGGGCTCGTTGGGGGCTGCGAGAGCCGTCGTGGCCGCGAGGCACAAAGTCACGACGTGGTGGCGCATTTTGGGCATCAGTCCATGTCGTCACTTGGGTCGTCGGTGGCGGCGAGGCGAGTCAATCGGGACGGTGCTGTTTTATAGTCATGATGCGGCCATGTTTGCTGGCGGCTTTGCCTTGGTCCTTGGATGATGCTGGGCGCATTTTGGTGGTGGTGAACAGGGGGCGGTGCGTCGAATCAGCATGCACGTGCTGCGGCGGAATCGACACGTGCTGGCATGTCCCTGTGATATTCAGAGTTTAGAGTTTGGAGTCTAGTTCAGGGGTCCAATTTTTAGATTGACATGACGAACAAGGTTTCGGTTATGCTTGACGGATCTTCAGGTTCTGCGCGCGCTACGTCCCATTGGCACCAACTCGTCATGTCATGACTCGTCATGATGCTCACCGCTAAAATAGCCCCCTTTTCCGACTGTCAATGCTGGAGTCTCTTGACGCCCTGAGGGATAACACGAATTCGTACTTGACACTACAGTAAGCTTCAACTTCCCAGTCATCCTCTCAGCCTCCATGTAAGCTGGTGTACGGAGTGTATTTAGCCGCTTTCAATCCCTATTGAACCAAACGTTGGCAAATCGCATCCTGATTCCTGCATACTCTCCCACTGCTCACTTTTCCATCTACCAGCTCCAACACCATATCCCTCAAGGCCTAAATACACGCATCGTCATCTTTGTTGGCGGAACCGTATTCAAGACGGCAGCAGCGGTGGAACTGGCTGCATCCTACGACATTCGTCTTCAAGCCAACGCAAAGCCAATCATGGTGCATACCGCTGCTGACAGATCCGCAGCAGGCTGTCGTCGCCTGGACCTCCAACGCTTGACCTTTGGGTTTGTAACAAAAAGAACCTTTTTCCGTAGCCGGGCGAGGTTTGAATAACCGGCCGCCGATCCCAAGCGGGGGCTTGTTGGCCTGAAGGCGGCATTTCTCCGTCTGCTCACCGAGTGGGCAGGCCGAGGAGAAGTTACCAGCAATAGGAGCGCCGTCCCCGGCGGTTCTATTACTGCTGATACTGCCAATGTCCCCGGCGGTTCTTTTACTGGAAAAATTGCCGATGATGAGGAGAATAAAGGGGAGGAGGTTCCAGAACATGCGCATCTTGGTCGTTTCTGTACAAGAAAGGGACTAGTTAGCTGCCTCGATTCGACTCAACTTGTAAAGTATAAACCTACAAAGTTGTAAAAGCTACGCGATGGCTATGGTAGATTTCCGCGCAGTCTGATTCGCATGAGATTCTGGTCCAGACACGCCCTCGTGAATATTTGGATGTTTCTGCTGTAAGTCTGATGATGTCCCGATTTGGCTCGCTTTCAATCCCAACCCTGCCGCTGCAAGACGGAAAGCTGGCCTGAGACTGACTAGACGAGTAAAGTGTGGCTAGACTCAGTAGTAAGATATGACCAGACCCTTTTCTCGCTGGACAAGTGCTGTTGTTGATTGACTTCAATCTGATAGGAAGTGAATTTGGTTCGTTGATGCTCTCCTTCTGCCCGTGTCTGCTCGTTGGGCAGCAGCCTCGCGTGCTTGCAGAATAATGTCCTCTGAGAGAATGCCTCGAGGCAGCCGAGCCCTAGAAAACCTACGGTTTGTCTTGGTACACAGCAAAATCGTCTGGTTTTAAGCGCAGTATTCGTCTCACTCACATCTCCGAGTGGCCTGTACAGAGTCCGGAAAAGCCAAATCACTTCTGAGACGTTATGGGTACATGATGCGGAGTTATCACCATAGGAGTCCATGGGTCGTATCCATGATGGACTGTATCCTTGAATCGATCTGACTATCGATGGGATTCGCCTTCTTATAATTGGAAATCGGGGGGGGGGGGGGGGGGGCCTTGCCATTGAAAAGGCCCTAATTCGAGTATTTTGACTAGTAGCTTTTAATTTGAACCTTGTAGACTAGTCCCAGCCTTCCAACCTAATTTGGGTCTTCTCGATGACGACGGCCGGCTACATGACCTACTCGATGATCTAGATTACGTATTCGTTGACAGGAATGAATGTGCGTTTTACAGTCGACGGTACCTACTGGCTTGTCCACACGGCGAGCTTAAGACGGGGAATATTGCCTCTAGATGAACATGCACGACGGTACGGGTTGTTAAGGGAAGTTAAAGCTGACGAGCCTGGAGAGGGGTGACGAGACGTCGGGTCTGGACCACCGTCACCGTCGCTTCCTAGCTAGACGATGGGATTCAATATTGCTGATGTTATCATAGAGGCAGGATAGCTCAGTTGCTAACAAAGCCATGTCTTCTCGCTGCTGTATGGTAAACTACAGACCTCAAAGCGCTAAAAATACAGCAAAATGTCTCCTAACAACCAAGTTCAGCATTGTAAGAAAAGAGCTTGCAATACGTCCCGCAACAACTACTAAGATGCAGAGCTCTTCTTGCTGCCTTTAATAATAAACTATGCGTGACTTCGTAGAATGAGCGCATCTGGGGAGCAGCCCTGGTCAGATAGTGTACGGCAGGTTGCTACGCCTCGGTCGGGAGTTACGGTAGCGATGGGTGGTAGCGTCAGAGATAGTGCTGGTTGCCGTCATGACATGATGCTTAATCTAAAAGTGTCGAAAGTATCTTTGGACTTGTAAGCTTTTATTCGGCTACCCTCAATCATCCGCACTAGGGGGGCATCTTGCAGGTCTAACTGCCATATGATGGGACTCCAACGACCTTAGAGTTTCTCCTGCATAGGCCTAGACTTTATCGCCATCTTTTAGACCCAAGTAGGTACGCCTAAACTCGACAATGAAGACATTGTTGTCCAGTCACGAAAGAAGGACGCGTATTTTCTGGGGTTCGATGCACGGGTTTACAGGGTGGCCACGCGCGACAGGCTACTCTCAACACGAACAATTACCATCCGTAATACCTCAAAGCTACAATTCATGTCTCATTGTCCAAGTTTTAACCCATGTACATCTCAATCGTATCCAATATCATTACATCAGTCATATGCGCCATCGAATCTGGAAGTTGATACCCATCATTTCCCAGCCAGAGCATCCCCCGGCTTTGGTAGATATTTGCCCTCCTCGTCAACACCCTGTCTCTCGGCTCTGTTTATCCCTTGTTTCGAAACAAGATCGCCGACGGGCTGGGCGAGGCCGCCCTGACCAAGCTGGCCGGCAACAAGTCCATGAACGCCATCTTGCAGCTTGTCGACCTGCTCATTGCCAGTTACCTTGGTCTTGTCAAGATTGTCTATTTCGGGAGTGTTAGTCTCCAGCTTTAATAATAGCTTATGTTGGCATGTGTAAAAAACGCACCTCTCGTAGTGTAGCTTGCTTTGTTATCACTTGTGAAGTACTTGAGATACAAGTCTTCTATCCAGGGGATCCAGATGTCTTTTTGCTTCTGGTATTGTGCCGATGCCCACTCCATATTGGTAGATGTCGTCGAGGTTGACCTATGTGCTGACTGTATAGACCGTGGTGTCTTGAACAGACGAGTGTGTGTCGGCTTGAATGCTTTTTAAAGATCTTTGGGAAATGATATCATATCCCCCGATGCCTGGGCCCTTTGTGCTGGCTACTACGTCATCTGGTGTGTCCGCGCGCTCTGATTGGCAGAGATTCCCAAACAGGAAGCAAAAACTTGGAAATTGAACCACACTTCAAATGTGGCGGACTGGCAACCCCTTGGATGGAAGGGATTATGTAACAAGATAATGAGTCAAGCATGATTGCAGTGCTTTGCGTAGTTTACATCTCTTCTGCCGCATTAAATCTTCATTTTGAAATAACGTGATTCGGACAGTATGGACTCCTTTGCTATCTAAGCACATACACTTGATCCCGCTACGTAGTGCTGTAATTACTTATAAATAGTCGAGCATTATTTCCCCACCTTTTCAGAGGCTTTGTGTCGTGGTTTCGCTCGTGCATCTTGCCATGTTAAGGCCAAGCTACGTGGATGGCACCAGTCAACAGAGGATAAACCGCTTCTACTTATGAGCGACTCCTCGTAATAACATTACTTTAATCGGCATAGGGTCGAATCCATCTTAATTATTCTCATAGTTTTATCGGAAATTCTATTACCCCTCATGCCCCAATAAAATCTCTCGGGGCTGCCCGCAATGCATCGTCATGATGACTTCATTCATCCCCCACCTACGTCTTCTTCAGGCAAACTAACAAACAGCTCTCTAATCATGACCGCACAGTCAAGAACTTCAATAAAACATAGTACATAAAGTAAAATTTCGAAACCATGTCGTTACAACTCAGCGCCGCAAGGCGTCTCAAAATCACGCGACCCGCCTCCCTCTGCCACGCATATCACAGCACGCCGCGACTGTCGCTGGCTGACAGAGTTCCACATGCCCGGCAAACCCTCTCACCACGATCCGACGAAAATACAAAGTCGGCCCATGACGATGACGTTGCGGCGCTAAAAGATGCTCCGTACTGTCGCAACAAGACGCGACCTGAGGACGAGCTCCTCGCTGCTGCGTCGGAAGCCGACGCCCAGCGCACTGTGAACCCGTTGGAGGCGAGCGGTGCCAATACAGACATTAGCAAGCCGAGCAGCAATATGCTGACGGGGCAGTATGTGAGTATCAAGTGGGAAGAGGCCAAGCGGGAGCGTAGTCGGTACGGGAGGACGCCTGGTAAGGGAGAGAAATTACACGTCTGGAAGAAGACTAAAAAGGTTAGCTTTAGGTAGCAACACGTAATATTTGTATGAAAGATCTACTTGACGTTACACTGGGCTCTTGCTGCGACGAGAGGTTTCAATGGTTCAGCAGGCGTGATGAACCAATGCCCGTCATCTACGTCGATGCAGGTTACGAGGCCGCAGCCGATTGTTATATACAGGTGAAGGATTGTGGTTCCGAGGCAAAGAACAGCTATACCTCTAATGGTGTGGAAACTGTAAGAGTGATTCTAGAGTTTTCTATAGCGTCCTGTAAGCTTCTTACTATTTCGTTCAAGATTCCGACGCTGGAAAAGGAGAGATTGTCTCCATCTCCGGCGCCAGTCCTAATACTGTACTTGGATGTGCATCGCTGAGTGCGCCAAAGGCGTGGTTCACCAGCTAGAATTGTAGTAGTCGCAGAAACAGACACAAACGAAACTGTTATGAACCCTTGCGAGTGTTGCCATTCTACGTACAGGTGCGGTGTTTCTGGCCTGCATGACGGACCCGTATCCCATCTCTACCGTTTCTTTGAGCGTACAATGAGTTATTATGAAAGAATTATTCAGCAAAAACTCTTTACGAGCAGGCCACTCATGCATCGTGGCATCAGATTCATTGACAGCGGCCGCGCCCCCGTCCACATGTACAAGGATCTGCATCCGTAATCTGTACAACCTTGGCCCACTGCAGATTGTCTTGTATAGAGTTCATCTCCAAGACTAAATTTTGAACAAGTAGTACAACATGCACAAGGTATGTGGGGACTAAATTTTTGGTCCGACAGCAAACCACTTACACGGTGGTGACCTCAACACGATGGTTGTCCTTCATGTCTGATAGATGCATAAACCATGCATTTCTGCAGGGTCAGTACCGCGGTTGGTCAATAGAGCGAAGATGGATGTCTTGGCAAGTAAGCCATGCGGCAAATGTGAAACGGAGAGGATTCACACATCCGCTTGGTTTGTCCTCGGGCGTACTGGAAAATCCTCCCTTCCTCCTGCCCCTTGTAATCGAATTACTAATATTTTGACAATATTTCTACCCATTACTGCCGATTACTTACTCGAATGATTGGAAGATACTTCCTTGGACCTTTGCCCAGCCAAGAGATGCTATTCAGACCACCACTCTCACAGTATTTTCCATTTAAGCAAATTAATCACCGAAATATGACAGTTGGACAGCATATCTCTGTCACAAATTTTGATTTTAATCAGAATATGTAACTTGGAAAGAATATCACAAAGTATCCTGGTCCACCTCCGTCTCTATACAGACATTGTACCCCCCAACCTTTTCAAGTTGTAAATACATCAGCGGCTCTCAAGATTTGAAATCGTATCCAACGCGAGAAACTTCATATATGTTCGTATTATGTGCTTGGCGACTGAAACAGGAAGCCAGTGGCGTATGGACAGATGTTGCAGGCCGGTGTGATTTAGTGGCGTACCCAGCAGGTGTCGGGAATGTGCTCGCCCTATAAGAATTTCAGTACTATCCTAGCATAAAAGTCGTTTATACAGTGAAAAGCATACCTTGTCGCAAGGCTTGTGGCAGCAGTAGTATGCCTTGCATCTTTCCCCGAAAAGCCCAACCTCGATGTCAAGGTCAAGGTCAATGTTAATTCCAAGGAGGTCGACGCCGACATCAGCATTAAGGACAATCAACTTTTCGTCGACACAAGTAACGTATTTGCATGTGTCACCTCCGTGGTCTTTGGTTGGGGCAGCGATGGCAACGGTAGCCAAAGCGAGGATGGAGGCAACGGAGAACTTCATGGTTGCGGTTGGGGGTTTGTGAGAGAGGGTGATGTTGATGTGAAGAAGAAGTGATTGAGTCGTTTGTGTGCTGATGATGACAAGAAAGATTCCAGAGACTGGGGAGGACGGATGGATTATTTATACTTGGAAAGAGCCTTTACAAAAATTTCTCGACCTTGGTACTCGGTAGAGCTCGTGAGTTCCTACGGAGTAGCCTCGATGGAATCTCCGATAGGGGGCATTTTCTTTTGCTTTTTTTTACGTACTACATCATCACCAGTACTGCTTCCTTTTTGCAGTCATCGACTAATCCTCGTATAGAAGTCAAGACAAGGCTTATGGCTGGTGGTAATGTAGTGGCCGAAGGAACCCTGTTGGTGCCACCCTCTGCTTGGGCCTGGCCACGTCCGTGCGGCCGTGCCAACACAGCTTCATTCGTACGTACGTGCATAAAAGGCTCTAGCCGAGATCGAGTTCACCCCAAGTTTACATTGTAATACCAGAGTCCATGGACAACTCGTTCAGGGTCCCTAGCCCCTAGCTAGTCAGACGCCATGTGTCAATGGTGATTTTCTAGCTGGTCAACAGTGTGGTTATTGCACCAGACGTTTATTGGAGGAACCCACCATATATGGTGTCAACACTGGGCTAGCAATCATTTTCACCAACGACATCCCATCCATGTGTTATCGCCGTTGCTTCTGTTTCTGGTTGGTTATTTATAATTAACGCATGTCTAAACACATTCTTAGTTCAACCATCAATTGATGACTGGATTTTTTTTCTAGCTCCAGAGGCACGGTGTAGTACGCTTTCATCCAGCCTATGGAGGACTTGTTACATCTGGGAGACCACAAGCGAAGGGTCGGGAGAAAAGAAAATACAGTGCTCTATGGAGGCCGAAGGCGCACCGCGATATCTCCCTCCATGTTGTGAGACATGGCAAAAACACCTGATTTTGAGATTATCGTTCCATCATAGCTGTTCTTGGCAGCAAGGAACAAGCCAAGAACCCTCGTCCGTCATGTCGGCGACCTTCGTCTAGACTCTCACCCCAGTTGCCGATCCTCCACGCTGGGACGTGCCGAATCGCCCACATCACAACTCAACTCATGACTGGTGTCTTGGAGCATTGGCGCCCAAGTGGGTCGGGAACTTGATCCATTTCTGCCTTTAATGTTTTCACGTCTACTTTACTAGCGCCAGGGGGGAAAGTACGCTTACGTATACGCAGGATGCTTGACAAGGCAACTTGTTATACGCCCAGCCCTCCATCACGAACCTCAAGCCGGGATGCTTGTGCTTTACCGGAGAAAACTGTTGTGTTCCTGCTTTCTTGCTTCTCCACAGCACAAACGAAACATCAACACGAGCTTTGCGATTGGCCTTGTTCAGCGCCGGCGTTCAGCCCTGCGTCAATTGGGACAGGTCACATTAGGAGCTTCTGCTAAGCCACCCGACAACCTTATTGGGAAGTATACATAGGAGACAGTGAGACATCGTTCAAAAGCCGCGGGCTGGGCGACCGTTGCTGCGGCCAGCCTAAAGGGGACGACAACGGCCAGCCATGCTGCCATCGGCAAATGTCACCGCCGGGAGTTGATGCCATCAATTGATGTCTCACTTCTACTCAGCCAGCTGTCATGCCACTAGAAATTGTGACCAAAAAGCCATCGGCCACCTTGTTTACCTGGGCCCCAAGATTCTGTAAATGCACATAATCCAATCCAAGGAGACGATGTTTGTTGCGGGCGCGGGCGATCCTCAGCCATGGCATTCGGACAGTTGATTCGCGGCTTTCGCCTTCAGCCATTCATGTTTTGTCACCGTCATACCAATGCTGACTTGGGACACTCAATCATGGCGGGAGTTTTATGCAAAAACAAGGGTAGTGCTCCGTACCGAGCAGGGAGGTGGCATGATATCTACAGAGGCACCCGATCGGGGTTGTATTGGGGGCCGGCGTTCCGACCCGGACACAAGACTGTGCTTCAATCGCGTGGCATACGCGATGGTACGACTTCCATCATGGCGACGAAAACCTACTCAGAATGGTGGTCTTATTACTACATGTTGTGCAGAGTCACGATGCAGTGTTCAACACTGTTTCTTCAGCAAATTCGGCTAAATCATCAGACAATGGAATTGTTTCGCAACAAGCTTAAAGAACTGCTGCATCTTATATCAGGTAAGCCGATTGCGCGGCTTGTCTCGGGCAAACAACGTGTTCAGCAGCGCTGATCAGTCTGCGGTTCTTGCATATCAAACATTTCTACTCCGTATGGGAAGGGCCCAGTTCGCTCTCTGTTTCACTTGCTCCGCCAGCCGGCGCCCTCTAGGCCTGACATCTGTTGAGGATGAACGTTTCGAGAACCCGGCGCCTTCTAGCAGCCCGACAGCCCATTTCATCGAACCAGCTCCCGACAAAGCATTTCGTCTGTTGAGAATGCAAGCCACCAGCTCCCGGGACCCGGAAACTTGATGTAGGGCTCATCAACTGCCGGTTTGTACTACCAATCTTCTCCGTACTGACGACAGTCGTATCCCGTACTCCGTACGTGGCATGGAAAAGGTGGCTTGACAACAAGCAGCTTGTATTTGTGGCTCGGCATAACTCGAGTTTTTTTGCATAAATCTGACCCCTCATTCAGTCTTTAAGCCACACCCAAACACGGCATGGGTTGTAAATATGCTCAAGGCTATCGTTTTCAGCAATTACCTGCCTCCGCTCGTCGATAGAATCTCTACTTTAGGCCAATGTGGAAGCTACCTGAGACAAGTTTAATTAGGCCGACGATAGGGGATGTAGAGGATTTGGACAGCTGCGGAGGCGTAAAAGTTGAATTATTAAAGAACGGAACCAGTCAAATGAGAAATTGCTTCACCAGAAGCTAGGCTCTCCCCAGGGTCGATATGAAGCGCAAGAGCTGGCCGCCACTTATGCGTTCCCAGGACAAGCCCTCCCCGAAGCAATACGACGCCGGCAATGGTGTACTAATTTCCGACGGCACGTAGCCGGAGTTGACGAAAAGTCACGCAGACAAACAGGGCGAACCGTCCTGTGTTTGGAGCATTAACGCCGGTATCTGAGTATCCAAACGGCTCCTGTGAGACTCTGGCATGCGCATCTTTCGGGTAACAACATGACCGAGCCAGGGGCGGCAACATATGGTATCCCCATTGTGCGTCTCCGGGAATTAATTCATGCATCAGTGCAACCATTCAGTTATTGGAAATCACAGTATTTGGGGACGTCTGTTCTTTTCTTGTTTTCCGCCCTTTTCATAAGCCCATCGGAAGATGGGCACCTGTCCAGACCTCAGCCATTGTCGAGGCAAAAATGACACTAGGGGCCGCCCTGCATTAGTAGAGTGCAGATTTAAATTACCAGGTGCCTTGAAAGGGAACCCAAAAAAAGTAATGGGAATGGTGCCTGGGTAAAGCAAGTATGGTCACGGCGGGATTCATGCTCCGGAGTCCGGACAGAGGACTTGATTCCGATTCTCATCAACTCGAAATAGCAGCTCTTTCCTGGCCAAGGAAATCCGTATCTTGTCGGTTTTGAATCGCATAAAGACAACGTATTAGATATACTAACAGAGCCTGAAGATATGTTCAACATGAAGCAACGGCAGGCACGCTGTTGGATTCCCTATCGAGTACGACATTGGCGCTTCCAAGATGCACGATTCCGCGACAAAGGGTAGGATCGTCCATCGCGTTGCTCCAGCAGCCTAAGCATCGCTAACTTAGCTGTCTATTTGCCCAGCAAGCGTAGATGTGTATAAACAGGGTGCCATTTTCATCGACTTGCTACGCTCCAAAGAAGATGCCGCTTCAAACGTACCAGACGTAATCGAATGTTGGTGTAGGGTAGCGGGGCGAGTGCCCAAGTTAAAAAACTTGGCAGCAGCGGGACAGTGGCGCAGTGCCTTCCTCCACGACATCACCGAATTATTGGATGCCGACTTGGGCTGTGTCACCTGATCCAAGCCTCAGCACTGAGCTTCAGGCTTCACGGCAGTCTGCCAAGTCCGACGACGGCAACACCAAAACAAAACGCCTTTTATCCAGCCTTTCGGTAACCCCGCCATCCTGTCTCGTCGTGCATTGGTGACCATGTCGGTCGCAAGGCGGGCGATAATCCCAAGTCCCAGGTCACGGTAGCCTCCAACATGTCGCTAGCCAAGAGAAACGATGGTGCGTGCCAGTCGGGAATCCGCCGTGTCAATCGGCAAACATGGTCGTGACGCTTTGCGTGTGGCGAATCGCGTGCTGACCCCCTAGGCAAAGGCTGCTACGAGTGTCGGATGCGGCGCGTTCGCTGCGACAAGACGGAGCCCGAGTGCTTCAAGTGTCAAAAGAAAGGCATCAAGTGTTCGGGCCAAGGCATTGAGTGTCGATTCAGCAAGCACATGAACCGGAAGCAGACGCCGAGCGTTGCCTCTCCCCAACTGCCCGCCGCATCGTCGAAAGCGTCAAAGCGCTATCTTTTTGTCAATGTGGAAAATACACACGACGGCGCTTTGCCGACTTCATCAGGACAACCGGGCGCTTCGACCACCGGGCCATCGAGTTCGACCATGAGCATAGTGGTGCCATACCGAAGCAAAGGGCGAGAGCTCGTCAGAGCCAGGCAAGCTGAACAATGTCAGCGTGTTGCATCGCTCCCGTCGCCTCGAGGGGCAATAGAAGTAGTGCCTGCCAGGTCAAGGATGCTCTTTGATCACTGTAATGATGGCCCTCCTGGTAACCATGTAACCCTAGATGGGACCAATCACTAATCGCATCGCAGTCTCAACCTTCATCGCTTCGAAAATGGTGGTCCTCGATTTCAATGAAAATGGCTACCGCCAGATAGTTCTACCCATAGCATGCCAAGATGATTTGGTCGCGCAGGCAGTATCGGTCATTGCAGCTTTTCATCTGTCCTCGAGAATGCCATCCATGCACATGGCTGCTGAGAGGGGCCAAGAATTGATCCTCTCACGGCTACGGCAGCAATCTCTCAATCTCGGACCCGGACAACTATTCAACATGTCAACATTGGCCACGCTACTGGTTCTTCTGGTTGGAGACACAATAACGGGCGCAAATAATTACGTCTACCTCCTCGAGTTACTTTCACGTCTCGCGAAGCTGGCGATGAATGACCCGCGTCTTTCCGACACCACCAAGGCATTTATTATGGAGCAGACAAAAATGTAGAGCCGTGCCCCAATTTGAGCAGTCTTCAAGACTGAGTCCCTGCTAACTTGCTTGCTCAGGTTCCAACTGTTTGGCTTTCCGCTGTCAAGTCAAATGAAGGGCATTCAAACATTTACCAAATCGCCCGACTACTACCTGGACTTTATGACATCATCGCCGTCGCTTGGTTCTGACCCGGAACAGTACGCAAATATTCAAGTCATGAAGGATATTATCCGCCAAGCCTGCTACATCTATCGCAACCGTGCATCACACGAAGCAACCCGCGAATCATCCATTGAGGCAGTCGAAAGGCTTCGCCAGACTGTCACTCACTTGGACCCCAACGTGGAAGGCCGCCACGCCCTTGTATGGGCATTTTTTGTGGCGTCTGCTGAGAGTATTCTACCAGAACACCGTGACTTCTTTTACAATCGCCTAAAGGGCCTGTTTGAGTGTACGAGGTTCGGTAGCATTCCGCTGGCCCTGCAAACGCTGGACTACATCTGGTCGAAGCAAGACTCGACAAATTGGATAGAGATTGTGACGCATGAACGGCAAATATTGATCATGTAAAACCAGATACGGCGCTAGTTGAGGGGGAGGGGGGGGGAATGTTACGGCCAGTGTATACTCTTTTCTAGCTATCAGTGAACGACATTGCGCCTGTTGCTACTACGTTGCCCAATGTGACTGGATACGGTCAAATCTTGGCTCGTCCAAGCAAGTCGGCCCGCACAGCCGTAGCCGCCCTTCCTCCCTCCTCAATCGCACCATCAATGAAGCTGCGCCAGCCCAGTGCCCAGTCTGAGCAGGAAAAGAAGATGTTTCCCTGTCGCTCCCTCATGTCTTGCAGGTGGTCTGCCAACAGACCCGGGGCAGAAAAGAACCTGAAGAAAAGAAGACGATTAGCTACGTTCTTCCGTCAGCCCCAACTTATATAGGCACTCACCACGCTCCCTTTGCAAACTCGTCCCGAGACCAGTTGTGAAAGACCTATCAACACAAAGTCAGCAAATTGTTTCCTCCTTCCAGGCCCACCGGGCACGACTTACAATTCTCTCCACATTCATCGGCGCGAAGCCCTGGAAAGCCTCAATGGTGCGCTCAATACTATCCTCCGGGTGGAAGTGGTTATGCTGCCCCCCAAACGCAACGACATGCGTGTTCCCCCTCGGCGTCTCGCCGTCGCCGAAACCATAAATGAGCGCGTTATGGGGGTAACTGACGCCGGTGAAGGACCTCAGGTCGCGGTCGGCAATCTCGGCGTGCACCTTGACCGTCTGGTTGACGTGGCCGGCGCGGGCGGCGGCCTCCCTGCCCCCGGAGAGCGGCGGGTCGAAGCGCACGTCGGGCAGGACGTTGAGCGGCACGGCGCAGACCATCCTCCTCGCGCGGAAGGTCTGGCCGCCGCGCGTGGTGACGGCCACCAGGCCGGCGGGCGAGTCGCGGACGGCGGCGACGGGCTGGCCCAGCGCGTAGCTCAGGTTGCCCGAGGCGAGGGCCTCGCCGAAGAAGCGCACCGCAAAGGACGACTGGCCGCGCCGGAACTTGTACCTGACGAGGTGGTTGACGCAGCCGTCGTACGAGTAGCCGCAGAGCGCCCACCAGTGGAGGAACTCGTACAGCGAGGTGGTTTCCAGGGTGGCGCCGCTGCAGAGCAGGACAAAGGCCTCGACGCAGAGGCGCTCGTTGGGCGTCAGCTCGTTGTTGATGGCGGCCAGGCGGTCGGCCACCGAGACGCGGTCGTACCGCCGGGCTTGGGGGTTGAGCAGGCCGCTGTGAGGAAAGGGGATGACGTTGCGGCCGTGGGCGCCGTCTACGTTGACGAGCTTGGACAGGCCTGACTGCATCAGCGCGTCCTGCCGAGTTGGTTAGCTTGACCTTGTCTACTGTGGCATAAACTTGTCCCGAGGGGGGGAAGGGCAGTACTTCTTGGTCGTGGGTGAGGCTCTGCGTGCCCTCGGCCCCGGCCAGCAGGAACCGGTTGATGCCTCTGCTGAAGTCTTGCGATATTTCCAGCTCGTCCTGCATCCCGTAGCGGGCGATTTCTCGCCAGACGGTCGCCTGGCCCCAGTACACCCAGGTGCCGCCCATTTCGTACGGGTATCCCTCGATGTTGGAGGACCACGAGCGGCCGCCGATGCGGTCCCGGGCCTCGAGGAGAAGCACCTTGAGGCCTGGGCGGGGTTTTGCTGTTAGTTGGAGAGTACCAGACATGAACCGCGGATTCGGGAAGCGTCGACGTACCTGCTACGCTTGTGTCGCGGGCGGCCGTGAGACCAGAGTACCCTGCGCCGACGACGATGACGTCGTACTCTGTGTTTGTGTCGGTGATGTTGGAAGCTGGCTGGATGGCTCCGAGGCAGGGGATGCCGGCGCGCAGGCCGTCCGCCTTGGTCCACGAGTATCCGTCCTTGGAGGCCATTGTCGTCATACAAGTGCCCTCGGCCACTTCAAAGATGGGATTGGAGTGAGTGCAGGAAGATAGGGACACACACGAATACCATGTATTTATCTCCTTGCCGGACAGCAGGAATCAAAAAGAGCAGAATCACGTCATCAGATGCTGAGGTTTGTCGGCCGGAGGAAGTGGAAAGCTGTCTGTCCCCCGGCGGCATCAAACAGCTCAAAGCAACATGTCGTCGTCGTCCAACGTGACACCACTTCCTTCTCCCCAAATGGTAATTTCTCGAGATGCCATGCCCGCACGGCAACTCGGATCGTGCCCTAGATCCCGGTGTCTCGGGATTGGTGTGTGCCGAATTCTCGAGAAATTGCCTATTCCGGCAAACGCGGCCGCGCAATTTTCCATATTCAAGTGGCTTCAACGCGGTCAAGCCACTCGCCTTTGGACTCGATGGCAGGTTTTTATAACTGGTCCCCTCCTTTCCCCGCCGCAGATTGCCAAGCCGCCTGGTCAACGGTGCCACACGTCGAGAGTTTTACACAAAACAGGAGGCACTTGGAGGCGATGGTTGCCCACCGATTGGCGTTTCTGATGGCGACGATTTACCCCGGATTTTTTTTCAGCACGAGCCCGGAAACACACATGGTCCAAGGATCAATATCATATCGCATCTACCCCGCATCCGTCCGGCCCGGCCATGGCGCGGACTCTCGCAGAATTTCCTCATTGGGACACGGCAACATGGCAAATCGCATGGGAACCGGCACTCGACGAGTCCACACCGGCTCCGCGAGCACCAGACTTGCAGACTGTTTTCCGCAAGGCCTTCAACGGGCGCCCCGTCCGCCATGTGGTTGGCCTCGGCTCCACACCGTCGCCAGTCGGCAGTCGAGTAGTGCTACGGCGCACAACGCCTCGTCGGGGCCAGGCATCGGGACTTCAGGCGTCGGGCCAGCCACTTGTCTGGCCATGAGGATATAACTCGAGGCCCGTGGCCACGATGCGAGGCCGACGCTTGCTCGTGTCCAAGCCCTTGTTTATCCTCTTCTTTGTGCGGCGATACACCCCAGCTAGTGATACGGGCAAAATGGGCGGTTCAGAGGAAATACCCGTGGCGAGCCATGGAGCTCTGCAGCAGCGTTTGTCGACCTTGTCGACGCTGGCCATGGCCTTTGCCATCTTGAAGTAGGTCCCCTCCCCTCCCTGGCTGTGCTACCGTCCTATGCGGCCGTGGTGCTGACGGTGTTTTGCGTGTGTAGTACGTGGATTGCACTGGCGGGATCTATAGGGCTGATTGTGCCGTCTGGCGGATCCGTTGCCTTCTTGTACGGCTTCATCTTTTGCGTCCTGTGCTGTCTGTGCGTGGTGGCGAGCCTGGGCGAGATGGCTGCCATATGGCCGACTGCGGGCGGGCAGTATCACTTTGTCTTTGCGCTGTGCCCGGAGCAGACGAGGCTGCCTATTGTGAGTTTGCGCCCCGAGAAGCCGGGCACAATGGGGACTTTTGGTCTTTGCTAACCCGCGGCAGAGTTTCATCGTGGGATGGATCAATATTGCTGGGTGGCTGGTTGTCGTCACGGTGCAGGGCTTCTTTGGTGGTGAGTCGATATGTGTGATGATGCATGAAGCAAAATAACGCGGAGATCACTCCTGGTTGTGTAAGGGCTTTATTTTGCTTCATGTATCATCACAATATGCCCCCCTGATGCCTGTATGTCAAGGGGTCCATGGAGAGGGTTTTGCTGACGGCCGCGTAGCGCAGTTCATCTCGGCCGCGGCCGTGGTTGCCTCCAACGGAACGTACGAAATCACCGCTGCGCGAACGTATGCCATCTTCCTCGCCATCCTCACTTGCACCACCGTGGTCAACATCTGGGGGAACAAGATCCTCGGCAAGTGGAACGACGGAGCGCGTACGTTGGGCCCCCTCCCTCCTCCGCAACCGCACATGCATCAACTGATCCGCGTACACTTATAGTCTACTGGTCCATTCTCGGCGTCGTCGTCATCAGCATCGTGCTGCTCTCCATGTCCGAAAAGACAGACGCCGACTTTGTCTTTACCAACTTCCAAAACACGACCGGGTGGCCAGACGGCATCTCCTGGATCCTCGGCCTCCTCCAGTCCGCCCTGTCCCTCATCGGCTTCGACGTGGTCCTCCACATGACGGAGGAGATGCCGAATCCATCTCGCGACTCGCCCCGGGCCCTCATCTACGCCATTCTAGTCGGGGGCGTGACGTACGTCAAAAACTCACCCCTTGTCTCCTCCCCCTCCCCCCAAAAAAACATCTCTGCTAACCCCCGACCTCCTTTCAGAGGCACCTTGTTCATCCTCGCCATCCTCTTCTGCTTCAACGACCCAGAGGCCATCCTCGGAACGACGACCGGCATGCCCATTGTAGAAATCATCCTCCGCGCGACCAAGAACCGCGCCGCCACGACAGTCCTCAGCCTCATGCTCGCCGTGTGCTTCGTCAACGGCTCCAACGCCAGCATCACCAGCGCCAGCCGCCTGATGTACGCCATGGCCAGAGACCGCGGCGTCGTCTTCCACGGCTTCTTCTCACACATCGAGCCCAAGCTCAATGTGCCCGTGCGCACAATCCTCTTCTGCTACCTCTTCAACGTCTGCTTCGGACTGCTGTACCTCGGCCCGGCGGTTGCCTTTAGCGCATACGTCGCGTCGTGCACCATCCTGCTGGACATTTCATATGCCGTGCCCATTGCGGTGCTTCTCGTCAGGGGGAGGCGCGTGCTGGCCGCGCACAGGACCGCCAGGACGCCGTTCCAGATGGGCACGCTGTCGGGCTACGTTGTGAATATTGTGGCTGTGGTGTATCTCGTCGTCACTTCAGTGGTGAGCTCTTCTTTGCGTTTTTGCTCGTGGCCCTGCCTTGGTTGGTGTATAGCCGTCTTTTTCAAACTAACGTGCGCGGGATTTTAGTTCTTTTGCTTCCCGACGAGTCTGCCTGTCACGTCGAATACCATGAGTAAGTTTCCCGTTGTTACCTCCTGAAGCTTGAAAAGTCGGGTATATTGACTGTTGACGTTTTTAGACTATGTATCGGTCGTTTTGGGCATCACGTTTGTTCTGATTGCATTGTACTGGGTGTTTTTTGGAAAGACATTCAATGGCCCGGTAAGTACCCTCCTTGATGGTGTGC